CTCTTGAGTGAGGTTTAGCACCAAATTATAAATTTCCTTCAGGCTTTGTTCAAAATACATAATTTATTGTTTTGTTTCATTGTTAGATCATTTGATTATTTTCGACTTGGAGATGGGCGGGCGGTGCGTGACGTAGGTGCGTCCGTAATAATATTTGATTATTGTAGTTAAAAGGGTGAAGAGTCATGTGTTAGGGAAGGAAAAAGTATCCCCTGTCTATCAAACCATTTTTCAATTTCCAGACAAATGATGTAGCATTTAATCAGCAGAAATAAAACCATCCAATAAAAGCAACAATTCTCCACTTATAGTTCTGTGTCTCACACATTGCTGGCTGTTTAAATAACTTGTTCAATTTAATAGGGAGCAAAAAACTCATGGAGCAATTACTAGCTATAATTGAGATTATGATAACAAGAGAAGCAGTGTTGTCAAGCAAAAATCCTGAATGGCTGACAGAAACAATAACAAGGGAGAGAGATGAAGGACTGATGATGGCCACAGTTATTTGCATCATAGGCAACCTTTGCCTGATGTTGTGGACTTATATGATCTTTTCTCAATGTCCTTCTTTCCCTACTTGTGCATCTTCATCATGACCCTTACCTTCCCTAGTCATAACTCAGTCACGTTTCTTCAGAAAAATACAAATCATAGCTTAGTGGAACTTTTATTGTTATATAATATATTCTATGTAACCTTGCTGTCCTTGTGTGTTGCAATTTTTCTATATTCTAATATGATTCATCCTCTAAGTATTATGCCTAACTATATTGTAAATCAATAACTGTATCAAAATTATCAAAATGTTATTTTTGACTTATTGTATAATTTTCCAATCTTTGTATAATTGCCAATCATATAATTTGCAAATCTATATCACTGTATAAGAATTGTTAAATAAAAAATAAAAAAATAAACATGTTCCTACAGCTGTAATGTCGAAGGTAGCCTATGTCATGGATCTACTTTCAGTACAGACAGAGCTTTCACTTCAAGAGAAGGGCTTTTTCTCTCACCTCAGCAATACCTTTACTCATTTAGTTGAGTGAATAAAGCAGTGGGGATAATAAAACACATACTTACCTACACCTCCCTTTTGTCCTAGAGTTACTTCACTACCCCATGATGCCTACGGATCATTTGAGCATCTACAGAGAAACACTCTGGCATTCCTTCAGTGATAGTGTCCCCAGGTATACGGTTGTGCAGTATGTTTATTTATTTATATATTTTTCAATCAGTGTTCTTTTTTTATGTGGCATGAGTGTTATGCATGACAATAGCAACACAGCAAAAATAGAGTACATTTAAATTATTGTATTAAATGGTATGTGACTTCTATAGAGTATCAGCAGTTAGAGATGTTGCGAACTGCTCGCCGAACTGTCCCGAACTGTCCGCTGGCGAACAATAGCGTGTTCGCGTTGGGCGAACATATGCGATTTACGGTCCGCCCCCTATTCGTCATCATTGAGTACACTTTGACCCGGAACCTCACAGTCAGCAGACACTTCCTGGGAGGGAGGGTCTGCTGCTGATTGGCTGGAATGTGTCTGCTGACTGTGAGGTTCCGGGTCAAAGTGTACTCAATGGTGATGAATAGGGGGGGACCGGAAATCGCATATGTTCGCCCAACGCGAACACGCTATTGTTCGCCGGCCGACAGTTCGCGAACAGTTCGGCAAGCAGTTCGCGACATCTCTATCAGCAGCTACACAGATAGCATTAATGTATATTAAGCAGATAGCAAATAGATTAGTCAACATTAGGAATATGGCTCAGATTAACATGACTATGCTTAAAAGGATCCTATAGTGCCAGGAAAACAAAGCCGTTTTCCTGGCACTATAGGTTTAATAAGTCCCCCACTCCCTCGCGCCCTCTTTCCCGCTGTCCCCCAATGTGTTTTGGTGACAATAGTGTCCCTCTAAAATAAAAGATAGAGCTAACCGCAACATACTGAGCTGTAAGCAAAGAGATTGTCCCAGTGAATATCCAACACCTTGTCAGAAAATACATTGATTCCAATGCATATGAATGTTGGTCAGAATCCCTTTTCCCACTGACATCCAGCTCAATATATCTAGGGTCTGCAAGTAAGAGCTATATGGCCTCCAGGTGTGTTTGCAGGCAAAGGAACTATATTTCCCAGTCAGAACACTCCAGGCATCTCAATCTGTCCCAGATCCAGGACTAAGTGCATGCTTTGATCTCCCCAGTAATGATTGAGTACACGTAGCTGAGTGAAATATTGGATAAACTTGCTGTTTGGACTTGATTTACCACAAAATTAGAGGAGCTCCTCCACTATTTAACTTGATCGGTCGGCATTCAGGCCTCGACCTGATGCCATGTAATTTTTTTTTAAGTGATATCAAATACATTCTCACTTGATTAAATATATAAATTCACACACACTTTATTTTCGACTAGATATGTAAATCAGAGATTTGCTGAGAAAGACTTCAACTCCTAGGCTAAAACCAGCACCATGTTGAAGAGCTCGAAAAGGTTGAAAAAGTAGAATTCATGGATTTCTATAAAATAGTGGGGCGTTTTAGTGTTTTTATGCTCTCCCAACAGCTTATTTAGTACTTCCAAATGTTAGTAAAAGCATAAAAAAAAAAAAATTATGACTAATAATGGAATGCTATTAAAAATTCCTTCATTTTTGAAATGCCTTGCATTTAGGCTAATCACAAACACAGAATATATTTTTGTAACCAACACATTTAAAAAATGGTTGCAACTTTGAATAGGCTAAGCAGAGATGATGGTCTGCTATTACTTCTGTTGCAAAGGGTGCCTAGTCAAACTACCTCTTTAGATGTGGGCATTTAAAAAATAGCAGTTTGTAGAATAGCAATGACTGAAATACCTCAAACCTGCTATGTGCATTATCTGTAAATGGCCTCCCGTAGAGAAGGTATTAATATTTAGCCAGTAGGGCTAGTAGAACTGTTTTTATCTTAGTTTTACTCTATGGAAAGAAGAAACAATTTCTTCTTTAATTGAAAAAAATACAAATAAAGAATTTTTGAGTACTCCATTAACCCCCTTTTCCTTAATATTTGCTCTGCCGAACAGACCTTAGAATATACAAAATGCAAAAACAAGTAACAACACTCACAGAAAGAAAAGTTTCAAAACCTATGGCAATTTAAAATCATCCTTCTTCCTCAGTAAAAATATGGAGACTTTGTCACATCATATAGCCATACCATCCCGCCATATCAACCTTTTCAAATATTAGTGATTAATAATCCACAATTATCACAGAAGATAACTGCTTAAACGACTCTAATAGGTCCCAATTCAAGGATAAGTTGAGAGTTGGTTGTGTTGAACTCAAGGGGCCTAGTCAGGACCAAATATACATTGAAAAGTATGTGGTGGATCTGCATACAGAACATGTTTTTTTTTTTATACAGCTTTATCCATTCTGTATGTTTCTCTCCCTTTTGTGTACTTCACATAAATTGAGGCACTGACAGCAGCAGAAAGTATTAAGAAATGCTGAAGGATATTGCAATATACCAGATAATTTTCTTTTCACATAGAGGTTCAGAGTTCTCATTGCCAGTATTAGAGGACTTGAATTATTTCATTTGCAATCTGGGCTCTTCCAGGACTTTCTGTCAGTGATTGATTAACAAGCCAGTGCTAATCAATAGTCCTATCAGCAGGAGATCCTATCTACATATTAACACTGCTCCTGTTTCAATTGATTTACAAGAAGATTCCATGACATCAAATCAAACGTCTTCTTCTTCCAAATGAAATATCCGATACAGGTCCAGACCATTCTTTTTTTAATTTTTTTTTATCTTTATTTTGAAAGTGCGTACATAGATGCTTGCAGTGCCACGACAACAGCTGCACGCAAAGCAATTAGTGACTACTTGTTATAACATTGGCATGGCATACTGTATATTACATTTGTGCTTTTTTTTTTTTTTTTTAACTGCATGCTTGATCCATAAAAAGTACAGGCTTTGTTCAGGAATGAGTATGCTTAAAATAACCCTGTACAATACACAACATAAGCCATTATTATGAACAGTAGTTTGATCTAATGGATTAAGGGTTTTATGTGGTGAAAGTGAAAAAAATAAAAATAAAAGTAAGGTAAATTCGAACAGTGAAGACTGACCCCCCTGTCCCTGTAAGGAGTGGTGGAGGGTATAACATGGATTTAAGGGGTGTCATAGGCTATGTACCTCTTCTTTTCTATAAATGTAAGCATGTAGAACACAGCAGTTAGGCAAGAGGTTGGCACTCACGGTACTCAGTAGAAGCACAACTACAAGAAAGGCGGGTGAGTGGGGGGCGGGGATAAAGAGGAATAATCCCCATACCAGCATGTGTATTAGAGTAGAGGGGCACATCCCAATGAGCTTTCATTGTGGTATTACCGTATTGGTGCAATGATTCAGTATGGTTATGTTAAACTAAAAAAGAGAAAGATCAAAACAAACTAAACAGGACAGAATTAGGGGCACAAACGGACAAACTCTTGAGGGGTCCCAGGCAGATGACCGTGTGGCCGAAGCTGGGTTCGGTGATCCCTCTGAGGCAGCGGGCTATCCGATTTTCTGTAGATTGCTGGGTATTTCCGTATCCTCCAGTACTTTCAATGTTCCAGATTCGTGGGGGATCAGAAGACTCCTTGCTGCTCCCCATCTTTAATGCACTTTGTGCTTTGTAAGTTCCAAGGTTAAGGGTCTCAGGGACTTTCTCCAGTCCAGGGTTGCTCTGGAAAGATCTGGGAAGAATGCCAGCTGATGGTCTTCAAAGGTGTAGGATGACTTATTGCGAATGGCGGTCATGAATGCCTGCTTGTCAGGGCCATTTTGGAAGTGGATTATGACGTCCCTGTGCGCTCCTGTAGTGTTTGCAGGAGGAGCTGGGAGCCTGCAGCATCCGTCTAGTGCCATTAATTTGGTTTGTTTGGCAGAGAATAGTTGGGTTAGAAGCCTCCGGATCAGAGAGGTATTTTAGCTGTTGGAAAGGCCGCGCACCTTTACATTCTTACACAGCCTCCGGTCCTCCATTGCTGCCATGCAGTATTGTGTCTGCGCCTGTTCGTGCCTTAACATGGAGAGTTCCCATTCTAGTGCAGTAAGCCGTGTCTCGTGGCCTGCTGTGGCAACCTCCGTTTCGTGTAGGCGGGCCGAGACTCTGTTGATATCTTCTTTAAATGTAGAGATGTCAGCCGCGATATTGCGGCGTATCTCATCTAGAAGGGCCTTCAGGGCAGCTTCCGTCACTGGTGGCCATGATTTTCGGTCTGATGGTATAGCAGGATGGCCCATCCGAGAGAGGCGCCATGACAGACCTCGTGGTGCCCTGGGGTCTCCATAAGAGCCAATATCAGCGGTTGTCGGGGGCTTATCTGCCCGATATTTCTTTGTCTTACGCCCCATGCTAGCAGTAGGCAGCAGTTCACACTTGGGTAGATTTTGCGGGTCCAAACTGGATAAGTAGCCATTTCAGCTCTCAGCTTAGCCGGAGTTCCTGCAAAATGCATCCGATCAGTAAGGCAGCTGACTCCACCCCTCAAGTCCAGACCATTCTTAACCTCTTTACTAGCAGACAAAAAAACAACAAAAAACAACATAATGCAATTGGTCAGAAACCCCCACCAGAGCACTACAGATGTTATATATATTAGTCAGTCACAGAAACCACGGTTCATTTTTTTTTTTTTTTGTGGCTTGGGGCAACACATATTTACACCTGTCCCATTGCTCTTTTACAGTAACGGGCTTGCTAGAATTACAGAAGGCAGAGATTCTCCACCCTCTGTGATTCTGTCACCCCCAATGTTTATAACTTTTATTTTAGCAACTGCATGCTTTGAAAGCAAGAAACCCATATCATTAAACTTACCCAACAGAGACATATTGAATTCAATAGGATATGAAATCATTGTTTCAATACAATAAACTGACTACACCCACCCACCACCAAGTCTGGGCACCGTTGTGCACTTATCTCATGATCTTATCTATGATAAGAGCTGGATGGTCAGCTAAATGTAGCTTTAAATAGTTGAACTTGTTGTTGTAAGCATGTGCTTATTCTTCAACTAAAAATGTTGTGGCAGAATATTTCCGTGTGTGTCAAGTTGTCTTTGGGCAGAACATACTAATGCATCTCAATTAATAAATGCTGTGGGCTAGATTTTCTTAGCAGAGTAAAGGTTTACTCTCCTTACTGAATAGCAATTTTCCAATACACTTCAATGGAGGAATTGCTATGCAATAAGCATTCATTTTCCTTCCTTTCCTCCCTCCTCCCCTCCTTCCTTAATTTTTCATGTAATACCTATCCCCTCGATCGGCCATTTAAAAAAAAAAATCTCCTCCCCTGCTAAGCCATACTCTCCCTCCCCCTACTGGCTCAGCGCTTATACATGCTCTCTGAGCTGATTACATGTTTTTTTATTCAAATACTTTTCTATGAAAAACAATTAATTGGACCTTGTGATGGCTGCGTGATGTCAGACAGGAGCTGGAAACCAGACAGGGAGGTTCTGATTTCACATTAGGGTGCGTAGGCACCTGTCCTGTAGGGGGTTGCTACTCTGCCTGTTAAAAACACCCTCCGAACCTCCTGCCTTGAGTCTGCTAGCTCCAGAAACCTGGGCTCACTGCATTCAATCTAAGGAGCTGGAACTGTTCATGGCCTCATCCCCTCAGACTGAACACAGTGATCTAAGCATGACCCTGCCTCATCAGACTAAACACAGCAATATGGGCATGGCCCTGCCCCATCAGGCTGAACACAGTAATCTATGCATGCCCCCACCCCCTTAGACTGAATACAGTGATCTATGCATGGACCCACCTCTTAAGACTGAACACAGTGATCTGTGAGGATAATGGTGCAGTATGTCCAGAAAATATAAAAATAAGAATAAAAGTATATATGGTCCTACTCACGTTTTTTTAGAGCATTACACCAGCTCTAGTATGAAAGGCGTACAGTGGTAAAATCCCCAGTTATAGGATACGTGAAGAATGGTTTCAATGATGTGTGGACCAAAAAATAAAAAGAAACAACAATAGTGCTCACTGTATAAAATCAACCACCAGAATAAATAAGAGAATATTACTCACATGCTCTGGCAAATGTGAGTAGTATCTTCTTATTTATTGAAGAATTTGCTTGCCTCTATATATAGGCTGTATGCATCACTAAGTCATGTGAGTATTTGGGTAATGAGGGACTATAAAATGGAGTTGCATTATGAAGACTTCTTTTCTATTCACCTCCTTCCTGTTTCACTGGTTCCTTTTAGCCCATATACTGCCGAGCTTCTGATTTTATTTCTCTGGGGCAAACATGCACTCCACTTAATTGTACCTGTCATTTATAAACTAGTCTTGTGTCAGGGTTATTAAGAGGTAATAATTCTGAGATAGCCTCTGGAGTTACAATCAAGGCACATAAACCAGTAATCATTTTGATGAAAAAAGAAAGGGCTGTCGTAGTCAAAATCTGCTACTTAGTTAAAATATTGCATTAAGCCCTAACATTCACACATTACACACAATATTTTTTTTCTCTGCAATAAAAAAAAAGCATAACCTGTTCAGTGCTGACTTGGTCTGGTTATTATTTCTGAAGCGCCAACATATTCTCAAGTGCTACTCAATAGATGAATTGAAAAATAAGCAATTGCAGTAAAACTAGTAGGGCGTGCAGGGCCTTGCTCAAACGGGCTTACAGGACCGATGTGTTTGTTGCTGTTCGAGTTGTTTGTGCTCAGTGTGTAAAATCTAAAGTGCAGTATGACATATCTGCAGATAGATGGAGAAATATAGTTAATGTGCATATTTAAGTATGTATTTTAAACGTTAAAGCACATTGTGCACAAATGGCTAGGGCAGGAATGATTAAAGGGGCTTTTAATTCCCCATGACGATACATGATCTTTACATAGGTTATGGTACAAGGAGGTCCCCAGTCACAATGTCCATGTACTGGGTTTTTAACAGTTGCAGCAATTTGCAAAAATCACTGCAGGTATTAGCCCATCCCTCAACCAGGACGATCAGGGACATGTTGAACTCTGATTGAAAACAATGAGAAGGCTAGGACTGTCTGACAGATGTCAGCTACTGCCGAATTTGGGAATAGCTCAGTTCGGGAACCTGCAAACCATAGAGATTTACAGCAAATGCAGGAACTTCAAATTTGCATTTTTGCTGGATTATTCATTTTATGGTATTTATTTATTCTATATATTTCTAAATTATTACATTTTAAACATAAATAATATTGGTTTTGGATCTTCATTTTGAAACCCAAAAAGGCACAGTAAGAGGCACGGTGAGCGCACAGCCAGCATACCCTTTGTCAATGCATATAACTATAGTTAATATACATTCAGATTCCATACATGAAATGCATTTCCAAATCTGATTGGTGGTTGCATAATAAAGCAAGTTTAATACATGAAGTGTGACAACTGTTATCGATGTCTAAATGTGTTCAGATATGCACATATTCCTTGTCTGTTTTGGAAGTATACAAAGAAAACATGTAAGAGATTGCTCTTGCGGCTTAATTAATGACATAGGTATATCTATTGTTTATTGCATACAAGCAGAGTTCAACATTGCAGTCATTTTACAGGGACTTCTATCTTAGTAAAAAAAAAACAAAAAAAAATGTCAGCATAATTTTCCCGCGGGTACTCAAACATTACCTTTTTGGGGCGTGGATTTAAAGCTAAAGGAACCACACTATAAAAAGGCGCCTTTTTCAATTGTTCAGCGCCCTATTGTGGTTGTGGATAGTTCCCTTTAGTGCTCTTGAGATGATTTATTTGTATTTACTGGTATTCGACTTTTGGCTTTTCCTCTGACTATTCTACTCTCTGGTTTCCTGATTTTGGCTTGGTTATTCTCGTGTGCCTGCTTTCAGTACTCCCTTGACTCTTGGCTATTCCTTTGACTACTCCTTGGCGTTTTGAGTCCGGCCATTCTAAGGTCCGGTATACGTCACTTTCTAATCACACTCTGCGTGTAAGGGTCACTGTCGTGATGTTCTGTTCACAAAGGTGGTATATATACAAGACAACAAACAGAACACATTCCTGCACAAAAATCTAGGGAGGATGTGGGTATTCACATGGAGTGTGCCTTATATTCAGGCACAGGCATTTCAGATTATGTATGAACAGGGTGCTTTACAGCCATCTATGAGGTCATAAGCTTATAGATGCAGCAGGTTTTACCAAAATGACAGTTATAAATGACTGAATGGAGGAGAGATATATGCTAAACAGTCGTGTTGCATCTCCTTGAGCTATCACCAGGACTAATAGACAGTTTATCTACAGTATACGGTATAGTTAATAGTTAAATCCCAACTCCTTGTTTTTACTGCAAGCACCGGAAAATATAAATCTTATCTTAAATTCATGATTAATATACAAAATTCTATAATAAGCATAATATTTTAATCATTTTCCAGAAAAAGTGGTTGCTGAGTCTACTACAGAATAGCTTAATTCTGAATATTTAGAAATTTTGACAAGAAATAAAACACCAGAAATGAAAGGGGAGCATTTCAGAGCTGAAAAACACAATCCCAGAGTCTGTTTAGATGGGTTTCGGAGAGCCGTATTTTTCCCTGGCATTGCCCCAGGCTCTGACGATCTAGCTCCTCAAAAAAAGAAATCCCCTCCTGATATATGGTGAAGTAGATATCATTGTTAACCTCTGTGTTAGTGAGAACATCCAAGCTACTAGTTGCTTGTGTTACAGATATACGTAGCTCAGTATTTGACGAATGCACTTTTCTGCATGTAAGATGCGCCGTGCACTGCATGTAAGTGATACTGCTTGGCACGATTCAATCCCACACTGCCACTTCTTGCTTTGCATGCTGCTCAGATATCGATCTCTTTGCATATTCTCAACCTGTTGTACAAGTACCCAACGGGTATTTCTTGAGGGTCAGTATTAATTAATTTTGAAAGGTCTATCATTTAATAGGATGTTGATATCAGTGTATTTTACTCTATACTACACTCTAACCTATATTAGGTTATAAAAAGCCTGTAAATGACTGCTCTATATCACATACTCTGATATGTGTTATGCAAATATTATGTTCTCCATATCTCTATTGCTATGGAAAGAGTTAAACTTGCTGTTTCTTTTACAGCATCCAGATGAGAAGAAGCTTTTTTGTGTGAAGTGGAGGGTTTAAGAACCATTCCAGGCGTGGTATAGAACTTGCCAACACAATTCTCTGCTGCCCACCTCCCCTTAGCCTGGCACACATTAAACATCAGCATACAGCATTTCCTTTCAAATTAAAACAAAAGAATCCAACAGAGAGCCTCGGCGGAGCAAAGAACACAGCTTATAAAGCAAATTTCCATTTCCCAACATCTCCACTGTTC